CATCTGCTACATTCTATGGGTAACATTTACTCAAGGCGTTAGCGGACATGCACACAGACGTTCATCTTTTATATATATATATATATATATATATATATATATATATATATATATATATATATATATATATATATATATATAATGGACACTCCCGTCGGTTTCGACGTATGAGGATCTGGCAGCTTAATTTTGTGCGATAATCTTAAGTGGCATTTAAGACCCGCTAGTGATTTACAAAGGAGGCCACACATGGAGCAAGTGTGAGGATTGTGAGATGAGATCACTGTTAGATTGGCTGACTTTTTAGATCTTGCTCTCGCTTCTTGAATATGATTCAGACAAACAGATTGAAAATTGCTGAGTCCACTAAAACACGTTGATCTCCATTCTACCTGCTCCAAGGCTAAGCGCTCAAGGATGTTATGTTGTATATTAACTGCTGACAAGTTTCTTTTCAGCTTGTCTTCGTATCGTAGCCATAGACGTCCTACATTCCTGTAGCCCTGATCTACCCTTAGGATCTTGGGTATCCTGTCATCAGACATTCTCAAGACATGACCAGTCCACCGTAACTGAGACTGTATGATAAAAATCTCGATCCCCCTAATATTACACCTGTTAAACAGGTCTAAGTTAGATGTCCTATCTTGAAGCTTAACTCCACAGATTGCACGCAGACAGATTTTATGGAAAACATCTAGCTGGCGTATATTGGTACCTGTATGGAGTCCACGACTCTGAGCCATACAAAACGATGTCAAGTAGAACAGCTCTGTAAATCCGAATTTCCGTATCCAGTCGAATACACCGCTCATTCCACAAGCGATGGCGAATTTTCCCGAAAGCACTGGTAGCCTTAGCAATCCGATGCATGATTTCATCATCTAAAGTTCTACTGTAATTGACTTTGCTACCAAGATAGGTTAAAGACTTTACATAGTTCAGGGGTTTTTCTTCTACTTTCAACGGTATCTCTGGAAATTTGTAGACTGTTGGTTTTTGTTTCTCAGCACGCAGTTACTGAGTGTAACTGGAGATATTTGTGCCAGCGTTGTATCATGTTGACAGGTTAACAAATACTTAAGACGAAAGCGCCAGCAAATATTTGTTTTGTTTTAGCTATATCTCAAGATCCTCGCTGTGGCACATTATGTGTACTTGTAGGCAAGTCCCTAGAGCGACTGAAGTGTCACATATGACAGAGACATAAGAACTGAATGAAGTTGTCCGATCCTCATACGTCCAAATCGACGGGAGTGTTCATCATATATATATATATATATATATATATATATATATATATATACGATTTTTTGAGGGTGGTGGGGCTCATTTATTGCAGACTCGTTGCTAGTAGATATTTTCAAAACATATCAACCATCATATGAACCTACAATCCCACAGCGAAGAAGACTGGCTGGAAACAATGTAACTTCCTCACACTTATCTTCGTTTTGTTTTCATTTCTTTTGATTTAGGTTATATGTGGAACCTCGTTAAAAAAGAATTGTAGAAAAATGTTATGGATTCTAGTAATATCACTAAAAACTACAATTCTGTACTATCACCGAATCACAGAATGTTTGACTCATTTTAGTGTATTTTGCCGACTCGAAATTTGAATTTCTATATTCAAATATATTAACCAATCAGCGAAGTTATTTGTAAATTCCAGACGACTATTTATTGGCTGCTATTACATTTTCTAGGATCACTTCAGAAAATGATTAACGATATGCTCCCTCTTTAAATGGATATTTGAAAATTTGGAAAATATTTATTAACCATTAAACTAATGAGATTAGTAAATTTGAATTTTGGTTTTTCTACATTTGATGTTTCGGTTATAAAAGCGATCATATTTGTTCGATCAGTTAGTTTTACCGTTAGCCTTTGACTTTACGCTAATAAAAAGAGAAAAAACATCGCAATTTTTCTGCTTGTAAAAATCGCAATTATTTTCAGTCCCATAACCGGGTGTGGATGTAGGGTCAATGAAGAGCTGAGCAGCTGACGAGTTTCTTTCATATATTTGGATTGACAGCCAAAGCGCATTCATTTATGCGTAGCGTGTCATGGACAAGTAGACGTGGCGGGTCCTATCCCTCCCCAAGACAGATCACAGTGAATATCCGCCAACTCGAAGGCTCACCTTATGCATGACTACTCAGCCGTTGGTTCCATTGGGGACAAACTTCGTCACGGCTGTTGACTTCAGCCTAGGTAGCCCTCCACCAAGTGATTTTGTTTCAGCACCGCACTGGATGCATACATAGCTACGGAACCTACTCAATTGTGCTAGATGGCCGTTGAACATAAACGAAGTTTCGTCGGCTCGAATGTTCGTCCGATACACCCAGGCAATCAAAAGATCGCTGGTGGGCTAAGACATGTAACTCAATAGTCTCTATCTCATGAGCGGATCAATTGTAATTACCGTTGACCCGCTCATGTGATAGAGAGTACTGAGTTTTATGGTACAAATAGCCCTCGTAGAATGATTTTACATAATAAAAAATATAATAATGAAACAAATTAACAAAAAATAAGGAAACGTAGAAAGATTTTTCACCGAACATTCTACTTGGAAATAGCTTTAACAAAATTATAAATCTGTATGAATCTCATTAAATTTAATATAGTTTTGTAATTGTTTTCTTTTAGTTTTTCTTATAAAAATTCGAGTTTTTCATTTATTTATTTATTTTGTTTGCTGTAAGATTTCGCCATGTAATTTCTGTGTATTCTGCAGACAATTTTTCGTCATAATTCTCTGAACAACCGCATTGTTTGCTTTGTGTATTTGCTTTCAAGATGAGCATTTTTCTATTTGCTCTACTCTTTCCTCAACACTTGTCAGTTATCTCCCTTGTGTTGTTTTCTTAGGTTTTCTTCTCCGTCAATTTTGATTTATTGGCTGAGGTTTCTCTCCGAGCTTTATCGTTTCTGCTTGTAATTCTGCTCGTGTCTATCATTCTATCTCCGGGCTGTATTCTTGTTCTTTCTCAGTTGTCTTTACGCATCCATACATATTGTCTCTTTTTCTTCCTGATCCGTATTGTCTTTTACAACTGCAATAAGAGAATCAGGTTTTACATATGGAAAAACAAAGTGCTTCCTATGATTACTTCGCACAACTAGCATCACAGACTTTTGAGTTTCAAATTGACAGGTGTGGACGACTATTCATTTTGTAAAGAAATATCCTCCAATGATCTTATTCCAATCACTCTTTTTATTATGTATTAAAATAAAACGGTTTGATTAATTTCAAGTAATTGATGAAAATCTCCCATCTGTTGTGTCGGAAACCTACCAACCCTCTTGAAGATGAACTTGTCTGCGTCTGTGAACAAAGACTTTAAATAGTCGCATGTCAGTTCACATGGGGAAGATAGATAGACAGAGAAGTTCTTAGCTGAGCTAGTTATTGACTACTCAGGCGATTTCTGTACCTTTTTACTAACCTATTAAAACCCTTTTTATTGTTACGTGTTATTTGGCGTTTGTCTCTACTAACCCGAAATCAGCATCATAACACCATCCTAGATTAAGAATGTGATAAAATTTCCTAAACATTTCATAAAATGGTTAGTCGGAATGAGGTTGTTCCAAGGGGATTTTTCTCCAAGAACCAAATACCAGTTGCGATCCGTCTGTTTGAAAGCAACAGGTAAGCAGTTCACCTAATCTAGTGTTAGTATCTACTTCGATTATATACATATCTGTGCGTTTAAGCCGAAAAGTGTACAATTTTATCAGTCCTTTTTACTTCAGTCTTTGTAAAGAAATTTATCGGTGATAAAATGTGATATATAAACTCTAAATATCAAACAAATGATGGCTAATGTATCCATCTATTGTAGCTAGCTAACCAATTAGCTATCTACCTGTGTGACAGTGTCTTATTCTTTGTGCTCTCTATATAAGAATATCTATCTCTAGTGTCAGAAGAGATATTAAAATACTTAATATTTTTCAAAGAACCTGACATTGTTTTCCTATACTGGCTTTTAGATCCGTATTTATGACGATCTATTTCTCAAAAAATTAGATACGATCGTCGTCCAGACATGCTACGAGAAATCTGTAAACAAAGGTGATTTACTCGTGTTTAATATGGCAGAACATAGGTGTATTGGAAAGGATTAATTTCAGACAATTGATAAGGGGTATCAGTTGTGATGTAGAAGCCAGACTTGAAAGCGTAGTAAAAGCGGTCAAATATTACTTGGAGCTTCAAAAGATAGGAAGTTGTAGAGTGCTATGATCGTCCGCATGGTGGTGAAGAAGAAGAAGAACAACAACAACAACAAGAACAAGAACAACAACAACAACAACAACAAGAACAACAACAAGAACAGTTTTTCTTTCCTTCATAAAGTTTCTGTTCCGAAACTCTCCGGCTAAAAGATGAAATAGGCTGGGTACTTGGCATATACAACTCCGTCGAAATTGATTATATATATATATGTGTGTGTGTGTGTATGTGTATATATATATATATATATATATATATATATATATATATATATATATATATGTGTGTGTGTGTGTGTGTGTGTGTATATATATATGTGTGTGTGTGTGTGTATATATATATATATATGTGTGTGTGTATATATATATATGTGTGTGTGTGTGTTTTTTGTATATATATATATATATATATATATATATATATATATATATATATATATATATATGACTTTTTTTCGCAATATTTTTCCCCTTAAAGAAAGCTTTTTTTTTCTTTTTTCTTTCTTTAACGGAAAACGCCCGACCAAGACTTAAAAAAGATCGACTGAAAATGTTTGTGTTAATAAGAACAAAAGTGTGTGGAAATGATTCAATTGTCCAAGCAATATTTGATAGTTTGGTAAACGGTATTTACATTTCCCCCAAATGGGATGACTCGTTTTCAGATTTACTAGATAAAGTATTATCACTTGTATTTATTTAAAGTATTTCTATCATTTTATCTCTATAGTTTCTTTGACTTACGGTCATATCATGTCGAAACATTGGTGCCCGTACGCTCACCGAAGTTAAGCAACACTGAACTTGGTGAGTACATAGAAATGTGACCGCTTGGGAATACCAGGTGCTGTAAGCTTGGATGTGTGGTTACTGAAAAAGATGATGGTTCATAATTGTTCATCGGAGATTCCAGTTCCAATTCCAGTTTGGTTCGTTATAATCATTTACTCGCAGATACCCTTTTGTAAAGGTAAGACATCCACCTCTTCCCCTCCTGGGGGTTAATTATTGAGACTTGTATAAGTAAATCATTATTATCCCAAAAAACAAATTCTTACAATCAAACCGTACATTTTGGTTTTAAACGAATCAATCAAGCAATTGTTTTTTTTTTAATGTATCTAATTTTTAATCCCTTGTCTTTTCAATACATAAACTATGATTGGCTCTACACCGATTGCTTTTCGCTATCTCTGATATGGCATGAGTTTTTCGAAAAGATAGTTGAGTAATTTTACCTTATCGTATCCACGGTTTTGAATGTCAACGTCGTATTTCTCTTATACTGGTTAACACCCAAGCCTATAGATCACAATCTACCCTGTTTTTACCCCAGAAATGGGAGGAGAAAAATATGCTAGTTGTGCGAAAATTAATTCAATTTTATTGGCTGGGATTTGAACCCGGGTCGCCGATCTCAATTTCCGGGCCTATGAACACTACGCTAATCGCAGATCCATCCATCATCATGATCATCATCATCAGCCTCTTGACGATCAACGGTCAGGGCGGAGGGGTCTCAAGATGGACTCAACGGCATCGCTGAGTTCCAACCCAGTACGCGAGTACCTTCTTCCTGCAAACCGCGAAACGAGGATGTCTTCTCGATCACTATAATTTTAACCTTTTCATGTTTATTGTTAACCATTCTGTTCCTTACATATACACATAAACTGTACCTCTTACTCTATAACGCTCTATCTCGAGCGACTCTCAGGCTTTGTATAGGGTGAACTTCTCTGTAAAAAAAAAGTAGCTTTAAACAGGAAGTAATTGCTAAAACCACGTTCAACAGATTTTTAATTCAGTGTTGTCCTTTTTGACCAGACCTCATATGCAACGTAAACTCAAGTCGCCATGAGTTCCAAGCGAATTCTTCAATATATGTATATTTTTTAAAATGTCATGTCTTTCGACGTAGACGATCGAAAACGTTTGACTCTAGGTAAGAGTGTAGCGTTTTCCTGTTTTGAATTTAGAGTATTCTTTCTTTTAGAATGTGCGTCAACCAAATCTGGGGAGCATATTTTATCTTATATTTAAGCCATAGCTTAATAGAATAGATACATCCATATTTTTTTTTAAGATCATCTATACGAAAGTGAACAAAATTCGATCTCCGGTCACTGATTTCACTTTTTACATATACAAATATATACTATCCGCTGATGCAATTGATATTTACTTTAATTAAAAATCAAATTTTACCTCTGTAATGACTAATGGAATACTAAATGAGAATAATGTCGCAATGATTTTCCAAGAGGATTCTCTATCGATTTGCAACAAACTCATGACCGAAAACATTCACGGCTTGATAAAAAAGGGAAATGATTTATAAGTCAACACTCTTTTATTTAGTCAACTAAAAGTGGATTTACTGCAGGTGTTCAGACAGTAGAAATAAAAAATATCACCGTAATTGTTTTCAGACACAGAAAATAATAAATTTTTAATTTTGCTCGATGTCTTAAAACAATATCTCACACCATTTGTTCTTCTTTTAAATTTGCTTTTCTTTATTATTCTGTTTCAACTCGAGTTTTTAAAGGGAAAATACTTTGATCTTGCCATATATTCTTCAAGCAAACTCAAGCTGTGTTCAGGAATATGATATTTAAAATTCCTAAAAAAAAATGTATAAATAACAATGCAGTATGGAAATTTCTATGCATATATGAAAAAACACACACACTATATATATATATATATATATATATATATATATATATATATATATATATATGTATGTGTGTGTGTTATTATTATTACGCACAAGAAAAGTACATATATATGTGTGTGTATGTGTGTGATTTCAGATGAAAACATGTTAACTTTCCAACATATTTCTGTGAAAGTTTTACTTCATATATATATATATATATATATATATATTTCAAAATTTTTCCAAAATTCGCTTTAAGATGAAACAGAACTAATACTTTTAATTTAATTATATAATTAAATTTGAAGTTTTTAGCTTCGGCTTTTGAAACACGGTAATTCCTGTGTAGCCAGGATATCATATTCTAAATCAGTAAATTTATAATATTTATGCTCTGTAAATTTACATTGAGCACTGTTTTGCAAAAATAAATATATCAATAAGAACATAGGATTATATATCATACTGTTCTTTCTTTTAATATATATATATATATATATATATATATATATATATATATATATATATACACACACACACACACACACACACACCAGGTGTAACATCAAAATTGTCCAATTGTTAGATTAATATTTGAACCATTGTATCTTAGAAATTATTAAAGATATCTTACTAGAATTCTCCGAGGTTTTTTATAACACCATTGGTCTCTACTTTGAATAATAAGAATGTATTAACTCTAAGTGGAAATGATTATCCCTATTGCCGTTGTGAGCTCCTGATACAGATTTCCTCTGTAGTGTTCCCTCTTTTTTTAAACCTATTCACTGTTCAATTGATGGTTCCGAAATGGACTTTGAAGATGTAAGCCATTACCGAAGGCCTGAATTAACTTTTTCCTCTCACCGTTGCTCAGTTGGGAAGACATAGTGGGCTGACAAAAAACGATTTTAACCTATTCTGTTTCTAGCTGAATAACTCAAAGGGTTTTTTCTGTAGTTCTTTCAACAAATGGTGTCATCATGGCTGAATGTCTTATCTTAAATCCTGGAAAAAGGGAAGACTATTAGTTTTGTGTGGTTTTTTATATTAAATATTTGAGTTGCTGTAACAGGATTTGGACAATTTGCCTTCTTACGCCCGGTATAAATGTATTGTGTGTGTATGTGTGTCCGTTTAAACTAAAAACGTATAGCTTACAATTTTTTAAACAATTACAATATTCTTTTAATACTTTACGCATATATGTGTGCGTGTGTGTGTGCAAATGAAGTGAGATCAAATATAGATAAAATATGGATTAGAATCCGACTGAAAATAAGATAAAGAATAAATAAGAAACGGTCATAAATTTAGCATGTTTCCATTTTATTTATGCTTCATCAGAATGAAATATAAAGAAAATAATATTATATCATTTTTATTTTTGTGCTGTTTCTTTTTATATCGACGAGTATAAATGTGCCACATGCATTCTACCTGAGCCTAAAAAGGAAAGCTAGCGAATGTTTAAACAAGTCTTTCGTTACTCGCAAATCCAGTACAACGTGTTGCAAGAGATTTTTCTTTTAAAATAAAGTATAAATGTTTTACATGCATTCTCTTCCACCAAGAAATGGATTCATTATGAGTATCAGCGGAATACGTTTTATAATCAACGTTTTATTTAAAATTAACATAATATTACCAGTATCCTATGAGATAAAATTGTTGCCATGTGATATTGTTGATAATCATAGTTCAAGAGGACATATTTCCTAAAGATCTATACGCAATGAAGATAATCAACCAGAGATCTTGCCTAAAGGAGATATGCCTTTAGAAATCGAGTCTAGAAACCAAGCCGACATTTCTGCTCATACGTATTTTTCACAGAACACTAGTATCTTTTGATGTCAGTTTGATGTTTCCTGAAATCAATGGCTAAAAGCGACATCTCCATATGAAGAACGAGTTCTCTCTTCTCAAAGGATGTCAAGATGGACATTGAATTCAGTTTATTTACATTCAACTTCGAACTTTTGCGCTGGTCGAAATGCCAATCAATCTGTTTTTGATCAATCATCTTGACTAATCTTTCGTTTACAAAATACTAAATAATTGACGAATATTTCTACTTCAAATATATTGCTTTTTCTATTGATTTATCGATTTATTTTGAGTGTCTCTGGAATAACTTGTATAATCAAACTTGTATTTAAAAAATCAACATGATGTTACCAATAATAATAATAATATTAATAATTCAATATTATACTATTTCCAGCCGTTTGGATTATATTGTTTGCTTTTTACGTCATTCCGCCATGCTCAACATGTTGTTTTTTGTTGCACGATGTAGAGATTATTGGAGTAATTCTAAAATAAATCTTTCGTGCTTCCTGAAGATTTAAATACTGTAGGTAGACCAAGTTTTACAAGTATTCAATCGTAAAGGCTAGCTATTATTGATATTGCTTTTATATTGATCATTCGAAATACAAATGTTGTTTAGAATATCTAGATTATTATTACTATTATTAAACAAAAATGATTGACGTGACTCTTCCAATATTTTTCAACAGTTAAGAGAAGAGCGCGATTTGAGAAAAGACAAAAAAAAAACACTGTTTGACAATATTAAACATTATTTCAACAGAATGTCTGCCTTCAAGTTACATATTTTAATTTTTTTCAATTATAAAATATATAAAACTACAAAAAATTATAAGTCTTTGTACAAATGTCGCCTATGATGAGAAAAATGGCTGCACTGGTAATGAACATGTCAAAACGAATGAAACGCCACCAGCGTGAAGGCATGCAATTGAAACATGGGTAGTATGGGGGTGATCTTGCAATATTCTGTTAGTTGATTAGATACTATGTGGAATTAATCAAATAGTTTAGTATAAATCGTATGGAACTCTCTTGTCATTCGGTTCATTCGTTCGGGGTGAAAAGTTAAGATGTTTTCAGACGTAACTATCTTCATGCGTTTAAAGGGTCGAAAGATCTATAGACTCTGAATATTTTTTCAGAACTCTCACCTTATGATGCTTGTCGAAATTACAATCGTTTGTAGGGATTTTCCAAGCATAGCTCACATGTGGCGCAAGGCCGTAAGTATGGGGCACCCAGTGAGGATCGAACTCACTACTCAGTTGCAATAGCTTTAGTGAGACAAGCTTGCTAACCATTACACCACCTCGAGGTGCCCAATTACAATCGCTTGTAATAAAATGTTCT